ACGACGCCGAAGGGACCACCGAAAAACGTCGTATAAACGATAACGTCGTATAATCGATTTTTTCTTCTAAAACTGAAACTAACTCTGTTTTCAGTTAATTTTAATGTTTAACGTGTTGATTTACATAAATTTCTAAATTAGACAAAGCAAAACAAACAAATAACCAAAGAAGAAAAATTGCAGTGAGCAATTTGAATGTATGTTACCTTTAATTATATTTTCTTGCTATTAGTCTCTACAATGCTTTGAATAGCGAGTTGAACTTACTGCTTTCTATGATGCAATTTTAGATTTCTAATCACGGCCAAATCTAATGGCTGACGCGCACTTGCAGGAAACATCGATTGCATCTATGCAATTTGCAGGAAAAAAGAGAGCTTTTACATTTTCCAAAATAATTAGTATCGATGGGTGCTCTGGACATTGGTCGATGAATAGCAAAATTTTTCGTTTTTGCCTCTTCATAACATTGTCTAGTTTTTTCAGACATCTAGTGAAAATTACGGTCGTCATCCCAGCATTCTTGTTGGCACCCTTTTCTGTATCATTCATATTGGCAAATTCCGCCCTTTTTTAAAATACACAGGAAAAAAAAAAATTAAATAAACGTGAACAAAATCTAAAAACCGACGTATGACCGATTCTGTGCGTCGTATAAACGATATATTTTTACATTAAAATGAATAGGAATGATTTGGGACCACACTAAAACGTCGTATAAGTGATCGTCATATAAACGATGTTCCACTGTATATTATATTATAATTATCAATATTTGCTATAATATGGAAATAATATGTATTCCAATAGGTTATAAATAATGAACCATTTATCTGTAAATAAATAAAAATGGGTTTATAGTATTTACCAAGTTTTTCCCATTTTCCCCAAGGTTTTTACTGGTAAAAACCCAACCCTGGTTATAATGCTAGTACTTATTAAGGAGATGAAAAAGTTACTCCTGCCAGTAGTCCACTCCAGCACCTGTTCAATTCGAAGCAAATAACATTAAGAAAGCTCAAATTGTTTTAAAAAAAAGATTTTAAAAACTGATTTTTCTTAAGGTTGAAGCAAGAAAAATTATATTAATTCAAGGTTACATATTTACCCAAATATGCCAAGTTCTGAAAGTAGGGTTATATATATCTGTATTACAGAGCTCATTCTAGGCAACAAAAAAAAGGGCAGGGTGCAAAAGTTAAAAAAAGGGCATTATTATTCTAAAAAGGCAATAATTTCTTTCTATGGGCTTTACACGTTTTATTAAAAAACATTGTAAATTAGTAAAAGGAATTTTTCGTTTTTAACTTTACCAATAGTAGCAAAGCAATCATATTAATAACTAATTTTTATTAATAAATTAGCATTTATATTGAGTTAATGAGCTAATTATCTTAGTAGTAATTCATTTAAAATGCATGTATATATTAATAAAATAATAAATGTATGTTTTTAAGTGTCTGTAGTTATGATTTAATAATTAAAATAATTATGATTTAATGATAGTGGAAGTAACTGTAAATTTTCAAAGACAAGTACAAGGGGGTGTGATGGCTATTTTTCCTTTCCCATATAAATCTATGTATTGACAGCAATGACAAACTAAATAAAAAGAGTTAAAAATAACAAAAGTTTAAGAAATCCATTGTAGAGTTTGGAGAAAAAAATAAAGGGTTGAGAAAAGAAAGAACAAAAAGGGTATGGAGTCTTACATCAGGGCACTAATTTACTTCAGGGGCAACAGGATGGATTCTTTTGACTAAAAGGGCAGCAGGATGCTGCACCCTGTTTACCCTACCTAGAATAAGCTCTGTGTATTATGTATTAATTTTAATAAATAAAAAATTGTATTTTAACTAATAAAAAATAACGATTGATATAAGGGCAGATTTTGATAATGTTTATGAATTTTTTTTATTTTTTAGTGTTTTTTTTTTTTAAATTTTTTATTTTTAAATAAAAAGAAAAACTAACCTAAAAAATTAACTTGAAACTCTTGTATAGAAATAATCTCTTAGTAAAAAAGCGAAATTTGAATCTTGTTGAAAAGCAAAGCCTTCCTATACAAAGCAAAGCTTTCCTATTTGAACCTTTAAAAATTTATTTACATTTAGGATGAAATCAGCCCAAATAAAGCACAAGAAGTTATCCATCACATATGCAATTTATGACTCGTGAGTCGTAATATTGTATTAAGTGTATCAGGATTTTAAAAACCATATTGAATTTAGTAGTTATAACTGCCAAAAATAACAAAAAATTATTGGATTTATGATGAAATCAACAAAAATAAAACTAGTAAAAAAATGATTACTCAAACTTAAAATTTGCGTTTCGTACTATGTTAAAAATATTAGATTTTTTTAAAAATCATGCAGAATTTCGAAACATTTTTCACGGAAAAAGCACTTGAGAAACAAATTTACAATATAATGTGTACAAATTAAACAAGTGGAAAAATTATGACTCAAATGTGCGATTCAAAATTTTTGATGCTCTTATTTTTCAAAAAGATTTTTTTCATTGTGTTCAGAAGCTTCTGTGGGCCCAGGTTGGGCACCCCTTGTTTTGGCATTAGTTAAGAATTTAGGTTAGAAAATGTTTTTGTGGCTAGCAGCAGATACGCGTAATAGACACAAACATCATTCTATGAAAATTTGCCACCGTCACGAAATTTTTTTTAGTATTACTCTTTCGTAAGAAAAACATACGAAATTATGAGGTCATATTCATCTATAAATCATTATTTTTGTACTTATATGTATTGTAAAATGAGTAGCACGAAAAAGAAAAATTATTTAAGTCTCGAAGAATTAAAAAGTGATTCTATCTTAAAACATTTATTAAATGTTTGCATTGAAATGTCTCTGAGTGAACATATGTATACAAAGAAAGAATATACAATACCAAGCATATACAAGAACAATGTAAATCGATAGCACGTTTTATCTTTATATTTTCATGAAACTGCTAAATTTAAGGAACTTTTTGCTGATATATTTAATAATCAATATTGTTTTTTTAAAAAACAAATATCGTTAAAATTAAAGTGGCAGCGAGAGGGTTGAAACTAGTTATATGAGTCAATAAATTGCTATCAAAAACTTTTTTAATTGAGGTATTTTGTTTGCAGAAAGTTTTTTTGTTTTATCTAAGCCTTATAATCATGCCAGTCTCATTCAGACTAGTCTAGAGTAACTATCCTTTTTAAAGTTCTCTAATTATGGTGAGTAAAATTATTAACGTTTCAATAAAACAAATAGCCAATTGCACTTCTATTTAATTTCTTAATGACTCATGTGTAAGGGTATTAATATAAATTTTATTTTTTTGTGCATCTTAAAACTATTAATGTCGATTTTTTTTTTGTTTCGTACTAGTGCAATAATTTTTTGTTTAAAACGGAACAGTGTGATGGTTCTCTTATTAGAAATTATTTTTTAATAACAAATTTTATTCTTTCACCTTCGTGCTTAAATTTAAAAAAAAAAATGGAAGCAAACTTATTTAATTCAGCAAAGTCTTCTATTTTGACCAATCAAACTTTATTACCAAAAAAAGGTCTTGTCTGATTGTTTGAAACATCTGCAAATGATTTTGATTGATTAATCTTCTCTTTTTGCTTCCAGACTTGCTGCAGAAATAGGTTGATTCGTGTGTTCATAGTGAATTTGCTTCGCTTTGCCTAGCATTGCTAAGCGAATTCAGTGTCATTTGGAAACAACTAATGAGAGTTATGTAATACGACGTGGAGTGACACTATTAAATACTTGGCCTATCTGGAAAGTTCAAAGTTAAACTTTGGAGGAAGTTATAAAATTTTCAAAATAAAATTAGAAAATTTCATTTGCACTATTTACAAAAGTTTATATATCTAAACAATGAACTGCTGGGGGGAAAAAGCAACTCTAATTGCAACATAAAATTATGCTGGTTAATTATCCTAGCAGGCAAAATACAAATAAATAAAATTTAGGAATTTAGATATTTTTCATAGATATATATCTATAATAGAAACTAATTTATTCACTGTTTTTCTATTCCATTAAATATGTTTAAAAACATATTTAATTTGTACCTTTTATTGTAAATAAATGATAAAATTATCATTTATTTACAATAAAAAGTACAAGTTCAATACATGTGAAAAGTATGTTTTGCTCTCAGGAAGCAAGGGGATTAACAATGTAATTTGAAACAACAGGATTTTCTAAAAGGATGGTTTTAAGAGTTTACGATTTCATGACAACTACATTTAAGTTGTTGGAATTTGTGTGAAGTTTCTTTTTCAAGCGGTTTAAATTTTTAAGGGGGTAATTTTTAATTTGTAAAAGGATCGTTTATAGGCTTACTTTCTTTCTAGATTGACTTCTGCCATAAAAGCACAACACCCTTTTTAAGGTGCTTGTTATATTGCATACAAAATTAAGATGATGTATTTTTTTTCATTGCAAAATGTTTAATGAATAATTCAATTCTTGATGTCCTTTGAAATTTCCAGCATTCAGTGAAGTAATGTTAGTATTATTTTTTTATCCAAGTCTCACCTTCAGAATATTCTAATTTTCTATGAAGTTAGTCATAAGAAATCATACTTTTTTTTGTTAGAATCAATTTATTGATAGGTTAAATTGTATTTCCAATATAAGTTTTATGTACTTGTATTTGATAAAATGGTTTAACAATAGAAATGTTCTACATTCGCCAAACATTTGAGTGCCAAAAAAAAAAAAAAAAAAAGAGTTCCAAAGTGTTGACTTTAGATTAATCTATTTTTGTAAAAACATTTAAAATTTTTAAGTAAGGTTTAGATAAGTGTTTATCATTATTTCATTTGATGGTTTTTACCCTACTCCTACATAAATTAAAATATATTATTGTACATAAGTTATGATCATTATTGCATGATTAAATTGCATCATACAGACATAACGGTATCGTTGAAATGATAAAGAAATCTATTCAACTTCGGAGGTTAAAAATCTTTTGAAGCATACGGGACCATTATTTATTTGCTAACTATTCCTGATGCACACATACTGCTGTCTTGTAGGGAACATCTGTTGAAAAGATGGCTGCTCCTTGCAATAGGAATATTTGGCATCAAAGCCAGGCATACCTCTTGTTGGAACAAGCTGGATGAACAACTTTGGCTACTGTAGGTAAGATAGATCAAGACAGTACGACTTTATTTTTTTGGGATGAACTTAGCGTTGGGAAAATAAGCTTTTGTGACTTTTTTTGAATATTGTTAAAGTTATATATAAAAGAACCACCGTTTGCCTCATAAAATAAATCAGCTTTAGGGTACTTAGGATACGAAACAATTTTAATACAATTTTTTTAAATAACATCTTTATAATTGCTTTATTGAGCATAAGGCCAATACAAAAAAAAGAGGTACCTCCAGTGGTAAGCATCTTGAAATACAAAGAAATGCAGGCCTCTTGGATGGCAGGACAATTCTTGAGTTGCTCGTCATTCATGTCAACTTGTTCTTCAGAAATTACTGCTGGAGTGTCAACAAGTCCAATGTGGTGTAGATGTGTTTCTAGAAAGTCATGTCCAGTCAATAATCCGAAAAAACTGGGAACACTTGATGTTAAGAGGTTCTCCCCAGAAGCATTAGGAGTTCGTTCTGTGTAAGAAGTTGCTCTTACTTCTAACAGCACAAGCTGACAAACATAAATTTCTAAAATAATTGCATCTGACAAACTTTAATATAGTAAAATTACTTGAAATGCTCTTTCAGTCGAGCTGGTCACATTATTCCTGCTTCAGAAACGTGTAATGAAAAAGAAGCTTATTTATTCTTTTCTCTCTGAATTGGCTTAGAGATTGATCCTTTTTATTGATTGTGGAATGAGAGTTTTTCATTAATATAAACTTGATCAATCATTCTTTATACAAAGTCATTTTAAGAACTATACAAAGTCATTCTTAAGATCAGAATTTTTATCAAAAACAGTTGCTTTTGTTTTTAAGAAGTCATAAAAGACAAGTTTTTAAAGTAAATGCTTATTTTTATGACCCCTTAAATGTCATCATTAATTTTTGAACTGTCAAAAACTGCATTTAATGCAAAAGTTACTTACCTCCTAGTTCTTTATGTCTGTGAGAAAAACTTCTCATAGTAACAGGCCCGCCAATTCTCATGCTTTAGTTCTCAAGCTTTGTGTTCGCAGAATGTTTTTCATTTCATCTAAGTCTGACTGTTATTAATTTTTAACAACATATTGGCAATTTAAATTAAAAAATACATTGTGAAAAAAAAATCAATTTTCAATGGGTACATTCAATAACTAAACATATTTTAATTTCTCACGATGCTTCAAGTTCCCCAAATGCTATGCAATGCCATTCAAGTAAATGCTTCACTGTATTCATATACAGGAGAAGTCCGATAATCCGGCATGTTCGGGACCGGCTAGGTGCCGGACTACCGAAAATTCCGGTCTATCGGACGATAATTATAAGAACAATTATGTTAATAATTAAACTACAAATACAGTATTCAAATACATACAGCAAAGTTTATTTTACATTTCATATAATGTATGTACACTTACTGTAAAACATATTTCACTTAGATTTAAAAAAGTCATGAATATCTTTTTGTTTTCTGGACTTATGGCGTTTAGTATAAAATTTATTTTTAATGATATGGAAATCAATAATTTCTGAAGCACTGTAGCTAGAACTACCCTCAGCAAAAGAGAAACTTATTGAGTGATTCTGCAGTGCCCAGCTGATTTTTAGTTTTCTTCCGTTTCAGCATCTGAGTCACTTTCTTCAAGATTTTGAGTAGGCTGAGGGTTTACTACAATGTTGATAATGTCCTCATCGTTTAGTTCTTGTTCAACAGGCTCATTCTCATCGATTAGAAGCCACTCCTCTACCTCATCTTCAGGCAGGTTTTTCAAGGGATTGTCAGCACTTCTAACGACATCCAAAACTTTGGTCACAGCGTCTTGATGGTTTTCTTCCTCATCAGTCTGTGGAGTTAGGTCAGATGCAGGGTTTGCAGCTGGCCGAAGTTTTCTCCAGCATTTTTGGAGTATTGTATTTTTTACCTGGTTCCAAGACAGTGAAATAGCATAGACGGCATCTTTTACTGTAAACTTTTTTTGAAAATCAGTCACGTCACAGTCGGCATTTAACAGGCCTTGTATAAAAGACCTTCTATAAAAGCATTTAAAATTTGGAATAACCCCTTGGTCCATGGGTTGAATCAAAGATGTTACGTTAGATGGGAGCAGAGTAGCAACAATATTTCCAGAAACTAACTCATCTACTGGCGGGTGGGCTTTGCAATTGTCCAAAAGAAGGATGGCTTTAGTATTTTCTGGTAGACCAAGGCTTTTGAAGGATTCCTTGACCTCCTTTAAAGAGGGCGGTAGTCATCCACGTATTTGATTGATCATCGTATTGGACAGGCAAGTGTGTAACATTCTTAAAAGCCCTTGGTTTTGCAGATTTACCTATCACAAAAGGGGTCACTCGGTGGTTTCCAGACGCATTAGCACATATAGCAAATCGGTTAATCTGACTTTTTTTTTAAAAAAAAAACCCTTGGCTGCTTTTTCTCCTCCCCCAGCTAGTGTAGATGTTGGTAAACATCGCCACAATAGCCCTGTTTCATCAGCATTGTAAATCTGTTCAGGTGTTAAGTCATTATCAACCACGATTTTCTCAAACTCGTCTTTGTATTTTTCTGCAGAGTTTTGGTTTGCTGAAAGTGTTTCTCCAGTTACATCAAGTCTTCGAATTCCATGCCGAAACTTAAAGTTTCTGAGCCAACCATCAGAATAATTACATTCACTTTCAGCAACTCCTAAATCTTGGCCGAATTTCTTTGCCTTTTCAACAATCATTGGCCCTGTTACCGACTTTCCTTCAGAACGTACTATACTAAACCATTTGAACAACACACTATCTAGCTGTTCCAGTTTTGGTTTTTTTAACATTTGTCTAGAAGCCAATTTTTCAGTTATCGATTGATAAGCAAACTTTATTAGTTCATCTTTTTGTTTTTTAATGTCATAAATAGTTGATGAGCCAATATTAAACTCATTCATTAAAACATTTCTATTGCCTTTTTCTAGCTGTTTGATGATTTCTAGTTTCTGATTGAGAGTCAGTGTTACGTGTTTTCGTTTCTCTCCTTTTGAACTCGAAGGCATAGGTTTTGAAGACATGATCACTGTACAGTTAGAACGAAAATCACTTTTTTTATAAACGGTTTCAAAAGTTACGTTTACTGCAATGTGAAAGGACACAAAACAACAACGCACAAAAAAAAAAGGCGAAGACGCTTCGTGATTGATTAACGGAACTGCACTGCACATGTTTCCGAACAATACCGAGCGCTTCCGGATGATCCCGAACTACCCCGAAAACTTCCGAATAGCTCTCGAGCGTTTTTATTTGCTTTAAAGACACACTTTTGGAGAAAACCAAAATTTTTACAATTTTCCGGATCCATGCCGGACTATCGAGCATTCCGGACTGTTGGATGCCGGACTAATGGACTTCTACTGTAATAGCAAAAGTCCTTTGTTGTATTATAAAATTTCTTTCTTACTTTAAAATATTCCAGAAATATTCATTGCTTTAAATAGAAAAAGTAAATAAAAAAAATTCAAAATTTATTCGGAATAATTTATTAAATGTAAGTGTGATGAATATCTTGCTGTGTGGAAAGAATGTAATATAATGGGTTTTTTCCACTTAATAAAAATATGTGTAAGTGCATTACACATGTTTTTAAAAAAGTATTTGATATCTTGTGAATTGGTCTTGTCAAAGACATGTTTTTGCATTAGATAATACACAATTAACAATTGTATCGTGAAATTTATCGAAAAATTTACGAATCAGTTTATTTTCTCAGTTAATGGAGTATTTGGTTTGATAAATGCAAAGATATCACGGGAAAATATTCTGAAATAAATATATAAATTTATGTATTTGTTTTATATATTAGTTACCTCCAGCAGAGCTCAATCATAAGTTATCAGTTGGTTCTATCTCCAAAGGATCCTGTCAAGAAAATTCCCCAAAAAATCTGAGAATTCTGTGTTAATGCAAAGCTGTATTGCTTAGTTCTTCTTCCTCCTAAACTCATCATTAAGTGACTTCTTATTAATTTCATACCTTGGAATAAAAAAAAAGAAGCAATTATTCTTTCTATCTTTCTTTTTTATTCTTTTAGATAACTCCGAGAAAACCCCCAAAACAGTCACTTGGTCGGAAAAGGTGATAAATGGAAAGGGTGCAGTATCTTGCCTTGTTTTTTCTTTGTTTTTTTTTCCTTTATAGACTTTGCCATTACTTATTAATGAATTATTAAAGTTAGATTAAAAAATTATAGTATTGCCCATGTAATTTAAAATAGCTACAGATACTCAACTTGAAACTTCTGTGGCAGAATTTTTTCGAGCTCTCTGTGACAAAACTCTCTAGCGCTAGTATCGTTCTGCATGATACTTTTAATACTAACAAACATATATGTTACTAATTTAAAATAATAAAAGCGCTCTGTTTACAAAATAAATATAATATATATATATATATATATATAGATAGNATATATATATATATATTAAATTGAACATGTAATAATTTTTTATTCTAATGTTACGGGCTATATTCTTAAATTTTTTTAGGGGCGCACAAATTATTTCCTTCTTTGCATTTTGTAAATAATCATAACAATAAAGAAAATTATTAAAAATTATGAAATCCGTTGTAATGATTGCCGAAGAAAAGATCGACAATGAAATCATCCGAATCTGACTCCTCAAATGCATGTTTCGTTTTGGGACTAGGTTGTAATAAATAATATCCTATAAAAAATATATTATAAAAAGTAAACTCCAAATAACAAAAAATTAATTTATGGAAATATTTTTTTGAAGAGGAGAATATCACCAATAATATGAAAATATGTATTCTTTTATGTTTAGTTTTAAAAAAAATTATATACTGTTCTCATCTATACATGAAGTTTTATTTTTTGCAAGCAGAAAGCACTTCTGTTTCTTTAAAGTAGTAACATATAAATTTGCTACTATTGTCTTTCAGAAAGGTATTAGTGCTAGAGAGAATTGTTGCAAAAAGCTGAAAAAAATTCTGTCACAGGGCTTAAAACTTTTTTTTTATGTAATTGTCCTTTTCCTCCCTTAAATTTGAATCTTTTTACAAATTTTTTATGCTATTAACCATATGCAGTTTTTCAGCATTTAGCAAGGTACTAAACATATTAAATTTTTAATTGTTTTATGCCTGGAAACACAAATATCTCATTAATTTTATAACTATCTACTTTATGGTCAGATTATCTGGACATTAGATTAGCAAGAAGGGACGAATTTTCATATAAAAATAATCAGGTTTTATAAACTAAGTTATGTAAAGTCTGCAACATTCAAATTTAATTTAATGACCTTATTTACAGTTGGAACTATAAAGTCACTGATCTGAAGATAACATTTTTAAGGGTTCCATGCAAAATATGAGTGTGTCCACATTCTCTGATTTTTAAATTTGCCAAGACACTGTGCCATGGCTAAAACCCTTTGTGGCAATTTTCCCCTCACCTCCACAAGAAATTAAAAGCAATGAAAACAAATAAGTTCAGATAAATCTAGAGTTTCAAACACAAATTATGGCATTATTATGTAGTTTGATAATTTAGAAAAAAAAAAAAAATTCAGTATTTGCTGTACTTGAGGTTTACCTGTACTCACTTTTTTTTTACTTCAAATTTTAAATTGCTAATGGGATTGAAACAGAAATTGTTATTTAAAATTTCTCCTACGTTATAGCATCCTCTTCTCTTCAGAAGTAAGCCTTAGAAAATTTAGTGGCCTTAGATTGGACACAAAAGCCTGAGAGTTGGCAGGTCTGTACCAAAGAGAAAAATTGTCAGATTTATTTGCAAGTTGCTTTTTTTTTTTTGACTTCTCATTTTTTCCCCTTCTTTTTTACAATTATAAACCGAAACATTCGATATCTACTGAAGAGTATATTAGATGAGAAACCATAACTTAAAATTTTTTTTTTAAAGTTACTTTAGTTGATATACACAAAATAAATATTTATTACGTGTTAAAAGCACTGAATTTAAATAAGCATAAAACTAAACAGGTATGATTAAGAATGCTCTTTTTTTTTGCCCGCAAATTATTTTACATAAATTAAATGGAAAGTTATAATTTAAAACTTTCGTGAGACTCTTATCAACATTCCGCCTCCTTTTTTTTAAAATTTTTAATCTATTTTGAAATGTTATAATTAACATTATTATTGGTAATAAATATTCTTTATGAAATAAGACCCCAAAAAAATAATCCTGCTTTTACTCTGCAGAAAAACTACAATTGTTTGAAAAACAGTTTTTTAGCTAGTCCTCGATTTGTAATATTTTTTATATTTTTGATGTCAATAACAGATTAAGGTTCAAATGCTTAATCGGATTTATAAACTTTTTCTCTGGAACTGTCATTCATAAAAGTTGCATGTTAGCCGATTTTGTATTTTAAAAAATCTAAGCATTTTTCGCAGTTTATATGTGTGACATCAACACAGCAAGACAGCAGGATATTGTGTTGCTGCCTAGTGGCTTGGTTGTAATTTTTTAAGTTTTTTGAACCCTTGTCTCCTAATTGTATCAATTGATATGTCGAACCAATAATTATAACTTGTTTGTTTTCAAAGTATAATTTCATAAGAATGCTCGTTTGTTTTGTAGGTTAATACAGGTTGTTAGTTATTAATTATCTTATGTTCACGTGTATAGGAAGTTGCATTCTAACCAATCTGCAGTTTTCTCCATGTTGTTAAACCAGTTTTCCCAAATAATTAAATAAAGAAAAAGTACATATATGGGAGAAATAAAAATACATTCCCATAATTATACTCTTTCCTATATCTTTTTAAAGTATATTTTCTTGCTTTTTCATAGAGCAAATTTCCTAAATATTTCCACTAGCAATTCACAATGGTGAAATACGTATTTCAATTAAAAGATGTGGTTTTATACTTAATTTGTAATAGTATTTCTTCTAATGACGCTAAACTTGAGGACATCGCCCCCTGCTCGCTGCACTGCTTTAACTGTTAAAAGAACTACTTAAGGATTGCTTTGCTCACTCATTAGATAATTTTGTATTGTTTAGCTTGTACATATTCTATTCGTCTTATGAAAATAAAGTTTTAAAAAACGTGCTTTGTATGTAACCTTGGAGTTAAAGATGAAATTTAAAGAGAAGAAGAAAGGTTGAATCATCGAGCAATGTATTTCTAGCCATTCGCCATCAATAAATAACATTTTTCTTATGCTTAATTTTATAACCATCGTTGAACAGCCGACCGAATTTTCAGTTTACGACAACCCATGTTCAACTCCGTATCCTTGTAATTTTGAACTCAATCCAGAAGACAAGAGAACTCCTGGATCAAGTATTGGGAGTAATACGCCTTTGTGGAGGACTGTTTGATGGAACTAACCCGCTTTTGTGTTACATGGCGAGAAAAACCATGAAAATATCCCACAGTTAGCCTGACGGTAAGGGGACTCAAACCTATGATCCATCTACCACTGAGGATTATTTTACATCAGCACTGTGGTCTTTGTGACTTGGGTGCGGAATTCGAACCAACCAGCCAATGCCGGTATTCGAACCCAGTTCACCTTTTTGGGAGGTGGGCGCTCTATCCCCTGAGCCGCTACGGCTGTCAGCCAATATTTTATTAAATTTGTTTAATAATAGAAATATAAATTATTGATAATATTTTAGTACATATTAATTTCTAGAAAAAGGAAAGTTAAAATTATTGCTAGAAATACATTTAAGTCTTAGGATCTGGTTTCTTTTTGTTATTCAGTCTAGTCTTGTAACTTAATATTCAATTAGTCTAAACATCTAATTATTTGAATTGTCATCGATCCTTTTTTTCTTCTTATTTTTTTGCAAAACATAATTATGATGATGAAATCAATTATAATTTTAACTCATTGACTTGTGAAAAAAGTAATTTAAAAATTATTTTTTCTATTTTCTAGACTGAATATTTGGTACAATTGAGTTAAATTTTTTTTATAAACTCCTTAATTACCTGATACTATTATCTCTAAGCTTTGTATTGGTTGGAAAACACTGCCCTACAATATTTTTTTTATTTTATGCGTCGTTGTACAGCCAATTTTGGGTTTACGATTAATGTTCAACTCCGAGCCTTGTAGTTTTGAACCAATCCAGAATACAAGGATCAGAACCCCAAGAGGTATCGATTTGTTATGGGAACATGAAGGACTTTGCGACTCGATAGATTTAACGTGCATCAGTCACTATTTACTACATGGGGAGTGTTTGGCCGGCTGGGATCGAATCCACGAACTCTTGGACATGGGTCCAGTGCCCCACTAATTAGGCTATCCTGACCTGGGAATTTAAATATATGTTTAAATTTAAATATATGTTGCTTTTGAAGTTAGCAGAATTGAATCACTCCGTTGTGTCACATGAAAGTGATTATTTTATTTTGCGCCTGTCTACTAATCTTTCGCTAATATGCTTCTATCTACACATATATTCGGTAATAATAGGTGCACCTTTCAATCACATCCCTTGTTGAATTTATTTCAGCACCCGCTTGTACTGGCGTCAATAGAAGAGCTAAATAATGGATCCTGATTCTCGTCGAGATTGTTTGAGACATGTCTCCCTTTAGAAAATTAAAGAATGCTTGGAAAAGTAAGAATTTGAATTAAATGACAGTGTTGTTTTATAAACAGTTTGATGTTCATTTTCTAGATGCTCTTTGCTTGTTCCTTTTTAAGTAAATACAGCTTTGAATTTTTCCCCTTGAAGGAAAAATAGCTTAAAATAAGTTTCGATTTTATAACACACCCTTGTTCGATCAATATATTACAAGTCTGCAGGGTTGGGTTTTTGAATGAATAACATCAAAAAATGGTTAAAACTCAAGAACTGATAACACATATGAAGTTTCTTTGATCATTTATTTAAATCCTTTACATCTAAATAAATTGTAACATATAAATAACAATAATTACATCAAATATATAATAACAATAATTGCATAAGTAGAAATTATAGTTTAAAATATATTCTTACTCTATTTTCAATATTACGTGTTTATTGATTTTTATAGAGTTTATAATTTTATTATGTATTAAAACAGCGCTTACAAACTTAAAAGTTTTAACACTTAATAGTTTCATAGACATTCTGCACCAATTTGTCATGGAACAATTCATTTCAAGCACAATTCATCACAGCAAGCACAATTCATCGCTGCACAATTTATTGTAGCGACAATTTGCCCTAGACATATCTGCAATTCGTCAGTGGGCAGATTTGTTGAGTGCAAGACTAGTATAATTTCTTGCGATTTTGATGTAATACTTCTATTTACAAACAAAAAACTCTTATATTGTCTTCAAAAGCTTTCTAAATATTTCATTTGGGGCCGTTCAAATATTACTAAAGCGGGGTTGAGGGTTTTGTAATTTGCCTAATTTTATTTATAAAAGGATGGAGAGGTATGAGCAATGTTTGCATTAGACACTAAAATTCAGTTATTAAATTTTTTTTTTTAAGGAATTCAAAATATGTAACGAAAAATTTGGAAAGTTATCTAATTTGGAAATTTTTATACCTGTAGTTTAAGTTAAATTTGTGGAAAAAAAAAATTGGAAGAAATTTATTTAATGTTTCAAGATTTAAAGACTTGCGACACTGAATCAAGACAAAAAATTCTACTAAAAATTTTAGTAACAAATTTAAAAAGTTAATTTTGTTTTAAGCCCAGTTACATTATTTACTTAAATTTGTTTCGAAAGTAGAAGTCCAAGTAACAACAAACAGAGTATCTGCTTGGGGGAGGTACAAAATTGTTAACTACATGTATACACAATATTTGAAAGGTCCCTTTTTTTTATTTTGCTTTGGATTAACAATAAAATTGTTTTCTGTTTTAGAATTAGTAATTTTTACTCATTGTTAACATGCCATCGAAGTTAAAATTTCACATTTCATCCAATATTGGGTGAAAATTATCATAATTCCTCCATTTTATACGACACTACACTGCAACTGCTTCGGTTAGGTAATTTAATGAATATTTCGATATGGTTTATAAATGACAGTTGAGCATGTGAAATTAACAATAAAAAAGTGTTAAAAATTTAATCAGCTGTTAGATTAGTGTTTGAAATAGTATTACATAATGCTGGTGCCAATGTCATAACATTTAACCCACAATTTAAAAACATTATTAATAATTTTTTTAAAGAATATTTTTCTAGAAATTTTTAAAAACGATTTGAATAAGGGAAAAATTATCTTGCAATGTAAAATGCCATGTAAAAATTTGTGATCCATATAAATCAAAAACCTTTTAATTATTAAACTGAATAATTATTACAAATTATTTTTTAGCATATATATATTTTAAAATTCTGTATAAATATTTTCTGATTTGCTTAAGTCTTAAAGATATGCAAAAAATATAATTAACAGTGAAAGGTTTGAATGCTTTCCCAACTAAACTATTTGGATCAGATTGTGACTACGGCTTGTAATTTGGATCAAAATATGAATATGTTGTAAAAAAATAGATGTGAGAAATTACAGGGTAATTCTCTTGGAAAAGTATATCAAAATGTCAGAGTTAAGCAATCTTCATACATTGTATATCATTTTAAACCTTAAAATGAATATTTTGTTATGCAGCCTGATTTCGATTAGCATTTAATTAATACCTTTATTTTCAACTGAAAATAAAGGTGTTAATTAAATGCTGAGATATTTTTTTTAAGTAAAAATTTAAAAAAAACATACTAGTTTAACATATCACACAGTTTCAAGGGTGGGATTTCAACTTTTAATTAAATTCATTACAGTATTGTAAATAAATTCTTACCTAAGGTTAAAATATAGGGTCAGGTGGTTTAAAGTGGGTATAAAATCATTATTTTTTTTCTGGAAGGCTCCGAAACCATTACATTTATTTTACTGAAAATTTTGATGCATTTTAAATTCATATAGATTTGACATGAAACATAATTTTTAATTTTTTAATTTTTTTTTTTTTATTATTTATTTTTATTTACAGTAGTAATGCATTCAGAAGTATATGTTTTGATATACCCACTTTATCCCAGAGTGGGGTAAAATGGGTATAGCTCTAAAATGAGTATATTTCACTAAAAAACCATTTGTAAATACTGTTTTAGAAATAAAAATGCTCTAAAATTAATGTATCATAATTATATTTAAAAAAAAAAGCAAATGCTGAGATATTTTTCTTCGTATTATTGATTTAAGAGTTAGTATTGGAGGGCTATCAAAATTAGATTTCACTTCAGATGTTCTGATCATCAGGACCTGGGTTTGCTAAACTATACACTTTCATGAAAACTTTACACACTTTCAAGAAAACTCCTATAATTTTTGGTTTATTTGAAATATAAATCAGTGTAAAAGTTAATATCTATAGTGGTAATTTAAAGTGTTTTTATTATTTAAAGCAAAAATGCATTTTTATTCAACTTTTTTATTCTGCTGAAATTGTTTTGTTTTCCATGGAAAAAACTACCATACGAAGGTGAAAACACATCTATATCTTTAAATATTCTTACTAAGTTGTACCATTATGCTATTTTGGTATTTTTTTAAATTGTATAATACGCCCCATATCTTTCTTTTTGAAGAATTAAATTTATAAGAAATTTTGTTTTCAGTGTTAAAATTACTATGTAGGGCTATAATCGAACAAGTAAATTATATTTTTTGATCTATTTTATTATAAAATATAGAGCATTAGATTCTTACTAAAGCTAACACAGAAGTAAAACAAGCATCCTTATCATACAACACTTAGCTAAGCCTAACCATATACCCACTTTACCCTACCACAGAAAACAATCGGTATAAATAGAATTTTGCAATTTATTCTTGAATTTCTATGTAAATCTGTTCTTTTTTAGATGGCCTTCTACCAGTTTGAACTAAAATGAATAGCTTTTGCTTGTTTTCAATGATATTAGAATAGAAGAACGTTTATCAATAGCTTAAACTATCATAAACAGATAGTTTGTAAACATTACGAAGTTATTATAATGATGCTTGCTGCATTCCTAGAAAATGTCTCTAAAAATATTAAACAAATTATCTCAATTTAAAAGTAAAAATTAGATGTTTTTTTGTTTAACATATACAGAGATGCAAACTGCTCCACTTTGTAAAAAAAAATATTTTCTAGTGGGAACGAAATTTTTTATCTTCAATTTAGTATTTTTCATTTTTAGTAATTTTTTTACCACTACATATCAGAATTTTGACATCATATGCAGGGGTCTGTCCAGGCCGAATTTACTACCGTTTAGCGGTACCTTCACAAATTCAACTTTAGGGAAAACGGTAGTTTCACAAAATACTTTCTCTTAAAATTTTATTTTTGTATCCATTAAAAAACGATAAATCCATATTTTTGTGTTGATTTTTTAATATAATTTTTAATTTTTCACAAATTGTGTCTAAATTTTCACAAAATAGGTACCTCTCAGAAAAACCTAGACAGACCCCTGATATGAATTTCAACTTCATTGCTGTTATCACGTAGCGATACTTTTAAAAAGTTGGCATAATTATCCTTATGCTACAGGTTTAACTATTTAATTTGCTACCATTTTTTAAAACTTTTGTAGGAAGCCTATTTCGACTACTCTTTACTCGTAATACGAAAACTGACCATTTCCCTAACTGTCAAAGGGTTAAAAAAAACCTTTTCTAAACTTTTCATATAATTCATAAAAATATGTAATTTACCTCAGTGTGCAATTCTGACGTTTGTGTGAATACATCTGTAAAATCTAGTTTTTATTGATTTATTTTTTTAAATTCATGGAAATTCATCTCATTCAATTTATTTAAATTCATGAAATTTAAAAAGATTCAGACAAGTGTAAATACATCCCTGCAAAAAAAAGTTAAAAGTGCTTGATGATTTTTTAACTTAATTAGAATATTAAAAGTCCATAATTGTGGAATTGCCTTACAGTACTTGAACAAGTTATAATGAACCTCTTTTATTATGGACAACTATTTTGATTTTTAATATGCATCTAGTAGGGTAGACTGTTTTTTTCCCTACAGATTGTAGACTGAGAGCGACACCTGTGGCTAAGCTACGGCGGTGAAGTACATCGCCCATGTCATACAACCACAAACCTATTCATAGGGTGGGTTACATTAACTCAGAAGAAAAGGCATAGAACACAGCGAAAGCTACATCCATGTCTACAGTATGATTCAAACCCCCTCGAATTTACGAGAAGGTTCACCTTTAGGTTTTCTATATTGATACCAGAAATTTTTTTTTTTTTTTTTACAATTAAACCTTTTTTGTATTGCTCACTTAAACAGCAGAAAAATGTATGTCTCTAAAGAAAATTCTGTAACTCTTGTTATTTTTAACTCATTATTAACATACAACTTTGAAACCTTTAACATTTAGGATTTTGACAGTCACTTGGAAATTTGTTCTAATAGCAGATTTCTCGTAATGTGAATTACTCAATATATCAAGCTTTAACTCTGTGTTTTCATATAATTTTTATCACCTGCAGGGTTTAATTAGCTCAGTTTAAAATTTACCTCTTGAAATATTGAGAGATTAAAAAGTTAAAAATACTAGTTTTGTTTTATTTATAAATTATTTTTTTTAG